CAGCCGAGTGGAGAGAAGCAACCAGTGACAAAGTGCCTTGCCAAAAGACACACGCACCATAGCCGCAGGCTGGACTCGAACCCACAACTTGCAGAATTACTTGCAGACCGCGAATTCAATGCCCCAGACCATGAGGCCACGGCACTTTACTATTGTAGTGATGCTGTTGAGGTGATGTCCCCCGTTTGTTATTTCAAAGGGCTGCAGCAAATTCACATTGATTTGGGACTCAAATTAAGTTTACTTACTGAGTGTACAAATTACAGTTGTCTGATTTACTTTTATCCCAAGTTAAAAAAAAAATGCCAATGCAGTGAACATGTGCACATTTTGTTAATGCAAAGCTAAAAATTGTCTACGCTGAGCTGAACAATTATTGTGTGTATAGAAGAGTAGATCCTGCGTACATACTTGAACAGTAGTAAGCTGGCACAATAAACTTTGCCTGAAAGCTCAGCATGACTCATGTCTTGCGTACAATGCTATATTTCTTCAATTTGTGTACATCAAACTACATGAATAGAATCTTTAATTAATTTCAGCACTTCTAAAAATCATTTTTGAGAAAAATCAGTAAGCATAAATTCCTCTGAATTTTAAGTAAGACACTGCTGCCCGTTTTCCAAGATAAAATGTCTAAGATGCGTACAAATGTACATGCTTATATATTGGAATAAATGTGTGCTTTTTTTTTAAACCAGTTTTACACACTATACATGTAGGCCATCAGCCCCGTTTCAAAATTTTGGCCACTGAATCAAAAAAGGGGAATAATCGTCATAGTGATTTTTGGCAAGATATACACCTCCAGAGTTGGAAAATATGTGATAGCATTGCAACGTTTGCAGCTTTCTGGGTGTTATCACCCTTTTTTTCAAAATGTCCATCAAAATGCTTGTTACCACTTTAGGGGCGGTATACCTTGCGCATGCGCACTATAATCATTTATGCCCTGATTTGATACTGACCAAACCCCAGGCTGATGGCCTACCATGTTGAAGACCAGTTGGAGTCTGGATGCTGATAATTAACTGAGCGGAAGGCGCGGGTAAATACGGTATGTGTTTAATACCGGCCATGTATTCCCATTCATACAAAGACTTTTACAGTAAAAATATCAAAACTTTTCAGTCCAAACGTCAAAATGAGTCTGAAATTATAAATGTCCAATGATTTTGTTCAACAAAATTACTTCATGTTTTTCGGGACACCCCTCTAGCTGTATTATGGTATGTCATAAACTAATCCTTTATGGAGATAGGTGCGCGCATCGCACGTACTGCGCGATGTGACGCAGAATGCAGCTGTGCCAGTATTGTGAATTTAGCATGAAATACTGGCTCACTGGTAGTATTGAGCATGCCTATTGGCATCCTTCCCAATGTAATTTGTATAGTGTGTTAAATAGATAAATGAACAAGTGGTTGAATAGGGTCATAACACCAGCTATACACAAATGGATCAATACACACACATCAGTCTTGTCAAACTAGAGTTCAACTTCAATGATGAGCGGCTGCCATAGGCACTATCTTTGTTGAGTCAAAATAATGCCCTGAAATGTTGTATTGATGAGACATTGTGTGGAAATCAGACAGCAGTATCAAAAGGTACAAAGGTTTGATATTAGGCAAATACCTGACTGATGTGCAAATGTCGTGTACATGCACATGGTTTTCATTTTGTTTTGCCTGGGAGGCCTGATACATACATTTGACAGTCAATTTACAACATGTACCTGTACCAATAGACTTTTTTTTCCATTTACAGGTATGAAATATTTACCAGTAGAACAAAAATCTGGGGCCTGGCACACTTGGCTCTACCAGTAGGGGCTACAATGTAAATGGATCCTCAAGGCACCAATAAGCACATCTGGAGAAAAACTCACGAAAACAAACAAATGTTTGTGTTCCACATCCCGGAAAGAATTCCATACCAGTCCACCACTCATATTGCTAAACATGACCGGTAAATTACCAACAGTTGTAAATCTGACAAAGAAACACTATTTTAGGAGTGCAAAAATTCTTTGATAACTTTTTACTGTTAATATGGCCCCCCTTGTGCAGGAGGTCTGAGTGGTGGCCCAGTATGGAATTCTTTCCTGGAAATGTTTACATCCGTGCTACAACTACTCACGTTTGCATTACAAAGCAATGAGTGGCACCTATTTTCAACAACTACTAGAAAGTGTGGCATTTAAGCCTGGCTATCCATTTCATTCTTTCCTCTTTGGAAAAAGTAGTTAATGAAAAATGATTGTTAAAAAGATCATTATTTCACGTAAACAAAATTTCAAGTAATTTTACTTTTATAAATTTGCCATGCTAAAGTTGAAAAATTACGTTAACAAAGGTGATGGACACCATTTGCAAACATTCAAAATGAAACTACATGTACTAAAATATTATGCATGCATGTAACAACCTACTAGATTGTAAGTTAATAATACAATCATGCATCCTGTGAAATCATTGTATCTTTCAAGTTTTTCATGACCGCCTCCTTTTATCTCTGGGTGATCAGGTACGACCCGATCACCTTTTTGAAATGGTAAGAATTATTCTTTGTTTTGGGGGTTTTTTTCTGGACAATAATTCCCCGCAGGTTTTCTCCTAAATGGTTTATGGTATGAACTTATAACTTTGCACATATATCGACCCTGATCCCAAGTGGTGCATAGAACTCTGACGTCATCAGGTGTCAAATTACAAGCAATTTTCGCTAAAAAACTGAACATCTTCTTTCACCTGTAACTCTTGAACAAAATAATCAATCGTGTTCATACATTGTAATCAGATAGCCCACTAATTGATAAACATTTTTTGTGTAGTACGTGAACTCACTTGACCTTTACTTCCGGGTCTACTGGAAGGTCAATGTTAGGTGAATTTAAAATACAGACAGAAGCCTCAAAAATCAGAACAAACCACAATTCTTCCAAACGGTTCACGTGATGACAATAAAACCTAGATGGAATTGAACCCTGTTCGAAGATGTGGGAAAAAAAACGTGACATCATCATGACGTCATCGGGTATCAAATAACAGGCAGGTTAACATCAAAATTTGAGAAATTACTTTTAATTATAACTTTAAAACGGAATAGAGTACCGTTTTAATTTTTTTTTTTTTTAGACTTTTCCACTGTTTGGAGAAATATACTGGCTAAACTGTGAGTAAAGTGGGCCTGATTTAGTTTTGCACATTTCAGAGCACTCCAGAGCCCTGTCTGGGCCTAGCCTATATATTGGCCACAGGCCTATGTGCAAAAATAGTGTAGTGTAGGGCCCTGTTTCCTAGGCCTACAGAGAACAAATGACACGTTTAAGTTCTTTTCCTTACCATGGTCTTACCAAACTAGGACATTAAGAACAAGCAGGTACATGTATCTCATAGATAGAGGGCAGTGTTTAGCATTTGGGGATAAAATGAAGTTGACAACAAAACGAGAACACACAAATAAAATGGTGATCACCACAATGTACTGTGAACACACAATATCAAGCTAATTATTTGCAGAAACAAGAAACCCTAAGAAACTGTTCAAAACTACAAAAGAATTTTGAAAAACAAAAGAAAGATAAGTCTGCTTTAGCTTAAAAAATTCATTTTAGAATGTTAAAAAAAAACACCCTCAAGTGACTCCAATTCAATCGAAACTAAAGTCTGAAAGAGGTGCCTGATAAAAAAAAGAAGTGGGCGGGGACTAGCCCCATAAATGTGGCCAATTTACTGGACTACCTATGACCTAGTACCTCCGTAAATAAAAGCCACACTTTCACCATGTACAAAAACATGTCAAACATATGTGCCCCGTGCCGTCTGACTGTGGGTTTTTGGTGCGGGGCACATATCAGTACATGAAACAGTCATTGATTAAGCGCGACTTGTTTTTCTTCAATAGTGACGTCACACACGCGCGCAATGAATTATGCATCAGTCATGTCAGTGAAATAGACTGTGCAACTCGGCAGACACATTTAATTGTGAGCGGTAAGTTCAGACTATTTTGTTCTTTTTTTCAAAATTACCGGTTGTTTGAAACAATTCGAGGGGTCTTATGGAATGTCATGAATGTGTGGATCTATCCAGGGTTACTGTCTTCCTCATTTGTATTTTCTTTATCAGTTTTTTGGGGCCTTGTCCTCGCGAGGGCATGCACAAAATGCATACCGTCATGACGACCGTGTAAGTGCTACCAAAGTATGGCAAATCGGTGGAGCGTTTGTATGGAGGGGTACCCGTAATTCAACGCTCCACTCAGTAGAGCTAACCATGAATAAAAAAGTTGAGATCATTATAAAAACCACTTCCCGCATACCGCGATAATAGGGAGTCCACCTCCATTCGCACACTCCGAGCATATCTATTTTCACAGGCATCGTACACGGAATAAACCACACCACCGTCAAAATTTTTTATATCAATTTGAAAAGGAAGAGTTATACTACTTACTACACAAAAGAAAGGACAATTCGGGAAGGTTAGTGGGCAATCTCTATTCCGAACGAGAAATGTGATAAGTACCGCGATAATATGGCAACCCATCCTATATGGTGGAAGTGTGTCCTTTTTTTACGGAGGTAGTCCAGTAAATTGGCCACAATTATGGGGCTAGGCAGGGACAAGAAACTGGTTTATTTTTTTTACTTGGCCTACCGGCTAAAAATGTAGTAGGCCCCTAGTCATGCTAGTAGTACTAGTACTAGTCATCAGGTTATGGTGCTAAGTTTCAGTACTACTGCATGTACCGCTCAACTGTTTAAAATCACTTGTCTCGTGTTTATGCCCCACATCGTACCTACTTTAGTAACTACATTGTAATACTAGCCGGCTTAAAACTCAACCGTGTGGTGTGGGTGCCTTCTATTCTAAGTCCATGGTCTGCACACGTTGTGCACAACTCAACTGTCATGACTACGCGACGCCACCGTCATGACTGAGACGAGTGGCTTGCTGGCAAACTCTTCACATATTTCCTCCCGATATACTCACCTCTTTACTCCCCATTATTCAACATTCACTAGCGGTGCCACAACTTAGACATATGTTCTTTCTTCCCTCGCCGTCCCTCCTGAGTAACTGTATTTTCTTGCTTGCATGTGGTAAGGGGCCTATCTTCAATAGTTACATATTTTGAAAACTAATGTTCGATACAGAGTTCTGCCAATTACTACAGAAGGGTTCTGCATGCAGCTGGCTGCGAGCGATCGAGAACGTCTGTGTCACGCCGTGTATGTGGTAGCTGCTTGGGTGGTTGTGTACGTGTGCGAGTGCCGTACCGCGGCGCGCGCAGTGCGGACCAAAGATCCTAGAGCGTGCGGACGGAGGACGCTACCGATACTGCGCCGTCACTTAATTTCGATTACCCACAAAACATGTATCCCCGAGTAACCATTATTCGCGCACTTAGAACTTTGACCAATTTTTTTTACCGAATATACAATTACTACACCCTACACGGTTTGGGATTTTACTCATATCTCTTGTTACAGTGGCGTAGCTGGGGGCCGGGGGGAATGTTTGGCCTCCGTAAAATCAAAAAAAGGGGGGGGGGGAGACGATGGGGGCGCTGTTTAAAACCGACGATTATGCACACTAAATATGGTGCTTTTCAGCATGAGCGCAAGAAATATGAAATTAAAACACCCGGAACGGCTCATGCTCACGAATGACATGACTTCTTTTTGAAAGGGTACTTGTTGAGACTAAAAAAACAAGGGCACTTCTCAAAAGGGCACTCTTTACAAAATATTTGGGGGGTGGGATTAAGCGGTGGTTACAAAATATTGGGGGAGGGGGATAAATACCCCCTTACCCCGCTGGCTACACCTATGTACTATTCATAATACCTGGAAAAATAATTTGAACAATCTCGAACGTCATACAAGACCGAGCAACTGCAGACGTTTGGTTTTCACGAAAGATACGTTACCATAATTCGCGCGAGAAATTTACAGAGTCTCCATATTGTAGTCCAGCGGATATGTGACAAAATATCGATGATGGAATTGTGCTTTTTTTCATAAAAAGCATGAAACTTGGCATATGAGAAAAGGTTTCAGATGTAAAGCCAACGCAATTCGGCCTTTTAGGGGCGTGGCAGCCACAAAAGGGGGGACTCGTCATGCCCGCAGTGAAAACGGTTGTCGCTACTTGTCACAAAAGCAGGAAACTTCACAAAGACATAATTACACAATGTGAATCGATTTTAAGTTGCCAAATAAAGCAAGCAGTGGCTTCGACGCTTTTACTGCCTTTGTAATAAAAAAGACGCTCCCTAATATCTCATAACCTCTTACATGTTAACATTTCCTTATCAACAGGTGTTGTACCAGACAATTTAAAGATAGCAAAAGTCATTCCAATTCACAAGAGCTCAGAAACTAACAAGTAAACAATTATAGACCAATTTTATTATTACCTAGTTTCTTACTTTTGTTTTTTTAAAGAATTGTTTATGCTCGGACCCTTAGTTTCTTGCGCAAATTTGATATCTTGTCAAAATGCTCACTTCGGCTTTCGAGCTAAACACTCTGGTTTTGATAATGTTGAACATACTATTGGAATTTTTCTTGATTTTTCAAAAGCTTTTGATACTTTGGACCATAATTTTCTTTTATATAAACTTAATCATTATTAGAGGTATTAGAGGAGTCTCCCTGGCGTGGTTTAAAAGCTATCTTAATAGGAAACAATAATACGTATCAATAGATGGCTCTCAATCAGCTTTACAATCATTAACATGTGGGGTCTCCCAAGGATCCATTCTTGGTCCATTGCTCTTTCTCATTTACATGAATGACTTCACAAATGCCACTAAACGTTTATTCTGTATTTTATTTGCAGACGACTCAAATTTATTTTACAGTCATAAAGATATAAACATCTTAATTGACACTGTCAACGAAGATCTTGTTCAAGCCTCTGATTGGATTAAATCAAACAAACTTTCACTAAATCTTAAAAAGACTACCAGTATGCTGTTTAGTAACTCTTTGAACTCTTTACCACAGGACATTTCTATAAAGTTTTGGCAACAGATTCCACTAAATTCCTTTGATTACATACTGATATATCAACATGGAAGAATCATATTAATCATTTATGTAAAATTGTTTTTAAAAAATATAGGCATTATTAATAGGCACACATTTTATATTCCCAAACATAGTTTACTGACTTTATATACAACACTTTTATTTTGTCCTACATCAATTATGGAATCCTAGAGTGAGAAAATTCAGAACAGAGTTTACTAAATCGACTTCTACTTTTGCAGAATAAAGCTTGACGTATTATGAATTTCACAAGTTACCTAGCTCCCACTGATTCGCTTTTTCTCAAACATATAGACCCTTCAAGTTAGCGACATTTACCACTTCCAGCTTGGGCTTTTCATGTTCCAGCTAACAAAAAAAATGATTTGCCAACCGGCCTTATCCAAAGTTTTCTAGAAATGATGATGTTCATGCATATTTAACCCGTCAATCATCCCAGTTTGACTTACCAATTGTTCGAACTTCCGTTGCCAAAAAAAAGTATTACTGAAGGACCCAGATTTTGGAGTTCGTTCGATAAATCCTTACAAGATCTAGCATCTGTTTTAAACTTTAAGCCTAAATTTTAACAGTTAATTCTCAACAAGTACTCTTGCTCATATAAAAAATATCTTTTTGATTCTCTTCAAATATTTATGTTTTATAATCAATTCATTATTGTAGCTCATGTGCTTATCAATCATTTCAACGAATTGTTGTGGTAGTTTGTTTATATCTTTTTAAGAACCTAGCATATGTGTGAATGTAAATTTAAAATTGCACTCTTAGTTCACCAGTTTATCGGTCGTTTTATTTACTTTGTCCTTGTAATGTATTCGTTTGCCATTTCATTCCTTGTTAATGTTTTACAGGGGACTCGCACTCGACAAGCCTTGCTTCTTGCGGGGTCCCCTCCATCCCTGCTTTATATTTCTTAACACCACGAAAATTGGTTTACTTTGTCATAATTTTGTATAATAATAATACAGTGGCTAATAATAATTGTAGATATGTACCTATCTTGGATGGAAATAAAGTCAAGTAAGTAATAAGTGTTTTCCAGATACATGTGGATCCACCACAAAAGTACCTTTTGGGGGGCGTGGCAGCCATTTTTAAAAAGGGGGTAATTATCATGCCCACCTGGGGGAAAAATTGTGCCCATAATCAAATGAAACTTTCACACAGAAGTTTATATTCATGAGAAAAAAATCCAGACGTGGAGCCATCCCGAACACACCCTTTTGGGGGCGTTGCAGTCATATTGAAAAAAAGGGGGCGGGGTTCGTACTATGCCCACCATGGGAAAAAATGCTCACGTCTCACACACGAATGAAACTTCCCTGACGCCAATATTCACGAGAAAATAATTTCAGACGTGGAACCATTGCAAACACACCCTTTTAGGGGCGTGGCAGCCATATTAATTTGAGGGGGGGGGTAGCCATAATGCCCCTATAAAAAAAAGTTGTGCCTACCAGTACCTTTCATAAAGGGATTAAACTTCACACAGACAATATATTCATGAGAATTCTTTCTTTTTTCAGATGCGGAGCCATTGCAAACTTACCCTTTTTAGAGGTGTGGCATCAATTATAAACATTGGTGGCGCTATTAATCATTTGCCGACCATGGAATGATGGAAAGTTGTGCCTACCTTTCATAAATGAGTAAACTTCACACAAACCTCGTGAAAGAAAATAAATTCAGATGTGAAGGCACCGCAAATTACCCGTCATTTTAGATGCGTGAGAGGCCTACTCAGTACTGCCTACAATTGCAATTTTTTATATTTTGTGGGCGATTTCTTATAATGGTGATTGGCCCATAACCTATATGACATTATTTGGTAACACTACACCTTACACCAAAGAGCATGGGTAAGTAGGCTGACCAATTATACACGGTTATACGTGTGTACATGTACCTCTATTATCATGCGCATCTAAATTCCAGAGTGATCTCATAATCACAAATACGCAGCAGACAGTGGTAGCACCAAACTCTAACATTTAAGGGCCAAGGAAATACTGGGGGGGGGGGGATTTGACGCTTGGGGCGCTGTTCAAAATAATTTATAGTGACGTTTTATGGCCATTTCAATAGTCTTCAATTTACGTTGAATGTGAAGTCAAATATTGACTTTCAGTCCATTTTTGCTTTATCTTTTCTCTTTTTCTCCTGGTGGAGGGGGGGGGGGCGTTGACGGCAGATCGAGTCACAACACGATGCACTTGCCTCACAAAGTGGTGGTCCACTATGACTTCAAATTCAGCGAATCTGTGTGTACCCCCATCACCCTCTCCGTTTACTACAAAATGGCATATCGATATCTCTGATGAGTTTTACCCCAACTAGATCCATAAAAAATAACAGCAATGCTGTTTAAACCCCTCAGCCAGAGTCAAGTTATCATCCAGAAACCATTAACCTTTAACTCAACATGGTGACCTTGACCTTTGACCCCGTATCAAAGTTAGACACCCGAAATTTCATTTCAAATTCAAGTTATCATCTGGAAACCATTTACCTTTAACTCACCACGGTGACCTCAACCTTTGACCTTTTGACCCCCAAACCAATCCCAACTTGCCTGTACCCAAGGGCAACCCCCTACCGAAGTTAGACAGCAAAATTTGATTTGTAACTCAAATTATCATCCGGAAACCATTACCTTTAACTTACCACGGTGACCTTGACCTTTGACCTTTTTGGCCCAAAAACCAATCCCAACTTGCCTACTCCCAAAGGCAACCCCCTACCAGAGTTAGACACCAAAATCTCATTTCAAACTCAAGTTATCATCCGGAAACCACCTTTAACTCACCACGGTGACTTTGACCTTTGATCTTTTGACCCCAACAGCAATCCCGACTTGTCTACTCTCAAGGGCAACCCCCTATCAAAGTTAGACACTAACTCAAGTTATCATCCGGAAACCATTTACCCTTTACTTACCACGGTGACCTTGACCTTTGACCTTTTGACCCCAAAAGCAATCCCAACTTGCCTACTTTCAAGGTAACCCCCTATCAAAGTTAGACAGCAAAATCTCATTTTTTAACTCAAGTTATCATCCGGAAACCATTTACCTTTAACTCGCCACGGTGACCTTGACCTTTGACCTTTTGACCTCAAAACCAATCCCAACTTCCCTACTCCTAAGGGCAACCCCTACCGAAGTTAGAATCCCAAACAACAATTCTAACTCAAGTTATCATCCAGAAACTAAGCTGCCCGGACGGACGGACATCCGTCCGGCCCGACGGACGGACGGACGGACGCCGTAGGCGATGACAATACCCCTCGAGCCTCTCGGCTGAGGGGAAAAATAAGCAGCCCTGACAATATTTTATACTTTATACAGGTTGCGGCACTTCATATGCCTTAGGGTCTGTCAGAAAAGAAGGCATGGAATCATTTAATGTATTTGAAGAAGTAACAATTTTCGCCAAGACTAACCGAGATA